TACGAAGAAAAAGCAGATGTTGAATTACACAAAATGATGATTAAGCTGAGAAGATTTCAGTTGTTTGTGCATAAAAGGGAACACACTATAGCAGTTATCAAAATGATCGTTTTTGACGTTAAATATCAACCATCTGCCGATTTCATTTCTAATCAACATTGTCAAATAAAAATAATGAAATACATTTGACTTGGTAAACAATCTGTTAATTAAAATGAATTTGTACATGTATTTGATTTGTAAATAAGTAAGCAATTAAGTAAATAAGTAAATAAATGTTTATAAGTACTGATATTACTGTTTGCAGCTGTTTAAAGAAATCTTCCTTTTTCACTTCTTCCAAGTTGTTTGCAGGTGAGTAGCACTGGAACCATCCTTCCTTTTGAGTTGAATCTTACTGTGATAATCTTGGGTGAGATTGGTTACCACTGTATTAGAGTTTTGGCTACTAGTGGTGACATCATGATATTCATTCACACCCTAAGAGTGCTCGTGACTGTTGTTTGGGTGACCAGATAGGAGTAGACTAATGATTCTCCACTTGACAATTTTGATATATCTCATCTATTTCATGCGCACTTGTAGATTCCCATTACTTCTACACCATATTTTCTCATTTCCTTGTCTATTTGGGAAGCCTTCCAAGCCTCGTACATTGTAAGTACATTCTACGTTCCCATTCTCATTCTTGCTTTCATCGAAAAAGACACAACTGCTGGCTGGCTGGCTGGCTTATCGAAGGCTTTCATCAACCCGCGTCATTTCGCTCCTCTGATTCCAGCGAAGAATAAGTTTTTTAAAAATATTTTTATACCTTTTGATACTTTTCTTGTGCGTTGAAGTTTTTTGTAGCAGTTTGAATGGCTTTCTCATGTGAGGTCGCCAGCCTTATACCCAATTCTCCCACATTACACGGGTTTGGGCTTGAAAAATAGCGATTTAGTAAACTAGACGAGGTCTGGCAAGTGAAGAAGAACAGACCACAAGTAAAAGTGACCCCAAAAGGTGATACCAGATAACCAGGTCTCTTTCATTTTACACTAGTTAACAACTAGTGTGATGTGTCTAGTCTTTTTTTTGATGCACACTGAATTCTATCAATTACGTTGGCAATGTGGCTGCCATACTAGGTGGCTCACCATCGCAGTGCACTTTGAATATTTGACATTAGTTGGTTGGAGGTATTCGAAGTGAGCCGTGCTGGTGGCCACAGCCTTACGCATCATCCTAGAACAAAGCACAGAATGACGTTCAGATGTCTACCTGAATCCCATCTTCATTGAAAATCACCTGAACAGCGTTTTCTGCAAAGTAATTCGGAAACTACTTCAACAGTGCGGCGTTCACTGCCCAAATCTTTCTCAACCTCAGATATATGACAGTGTCACGTGTCAAGTGATCCACAAAGTAAGACTCAGGAAAGCTTCTGAATTAAATACAGGGGTAAGACAAGGCTGTCTATTATCACCAATGGTTAGGACTCTCGCCAACCATGCACATGGTCCGGGGTTCGAGCCCACACCGACGCACACCTGATATCTATGGTCGGCCTGGGAAATTTGGGCTACCGATATCCACGCTGAAAATTCCATACCTGTACCGAAAATACAGTGTGGAATCAAGCTGTAATCAAAAATAAATAAAGTAAAATAAATAAATAAAATGATATTCCTAATTATGGTGGACTGGATTATGCTGAACACCACAGGTGGGGAGCGAGAAGATAGGAATACGTTGAACCATAGGAGATATGGACTTCGTGGACTACGAGGAATCGTGCGGCTAGTTAAACAGGACCGCAGAGAACAGAACAAAATCAACATGTTTTATTGAAGCACTTTGTTCCACTCATAACCCAAGAGAACAATAATAATAATAGTACAGGTATTATTAAAAGATAAGATTGTCATTGGTAACATAGACTTATCGTAGCAATCTTCAGCAAATATTATCTCTAGCAAGAAGTTAGCTCTGAATTCGTCCTTCCTTCCAATTAAAACTGATCAACCATTAGAAAATATAAGTAATTCCATAAGTCTTGCATATATTTTTATTTGTAACGTTATCAACCAGTAGTAAATCTGAATGAACAGTCTCTTATGTATTATTAGGCTTAAGCGATATATAAAGCATCTATCTAGTGAACATTCTTCAGGAATTAAGTGTACCGGATACTTTACAGGAGCTCAGGATAGAGAGATTTGCGTTGACTGTTCAATACAGATTAACAAATATCATGTTCGTAACCCTTATTCTTGAAGCTGAGTGGATTCTCCCAGCTAATCGTCACAAAGTTTGGCAGTTGATCAGCGCAATGCATTTTGACTCCATGTTTTGAGCTTATACGCACTTATAAATGACGATTATCTGTTAATACAATGGGAATATATGCCACCTTGGAGCTTCAGACTTGTATCACCGAGTACTGCAGTCAGAAAGGTTACTGTTAAGATATTTCGGTCCACAGTTAGCCTCATGTGAGAATCTAATAATGCATCTATTGATTGATCACTAGGTGGTAACCTTATGTGAGTAATTATTTCCCAGTTGTGATGCAACCAAGTACTTAACATAATTGGGTTTATGGATTACCTGGGTAATTGGTCAGAAGCGATTTCAATTCTAAATCATCTAATTGATCATTTTTCTCACCTAAACTAGATTCTGTTCTCTACTTGAAAATTACTGAAAACTTTCTCAACTAAACTCAGTAACAATCCCTTTAAAAAAAACACAGAAAAAAAGAGAAAGAGATGAAAATTTACACTGTATTCATGTCTGCATAATTTGAGCATAGTATTCAAGTAAACGTGAATGTAACAGTTTCGCTACATGCCGTGCATTACTCATTCGCATTGGTAACATCATCAACAACAAAGACAATAATAACAAAAAAAAGAAACAAACAAAAGCAAAGCAAAGCAAAAAATTACTTTGAAATAATATCGGCGAAATTATTAAGTCAGTTTTTGTTACATGTAGCCATTGCTCAAAGTTACAATTTTGAACAAACAAACAATTCTCTATTACTGTGTAATTGGAAATATCATACACCCATACAGAATACACATGTATACACGTATGCATGTATGCGTGTTTGTGTATCGCAGAGTTTTAAGCCGATATTAATACTGCAGACAATCATTATAAAACAACCTGATGACTATACAATTATGATACATTGTTGTAAATCTTACGAACAACTTCACTTTATAAAACTTATCCAATTTTTAGAACATTGCTGGGTATTTGATAATTAAAGTAAATACATATGCACAAACTCACACATAAATCAAATTCTTTAGGTTATTAATGAGCTTTGTAAAGGTATGTAGGTCATACTATCATGGTAGACAAAAAGAAATGACTGATAGTCAGTCGGTTACTTAATGGTTAACAATCTGTTGGATAGTAAGACTATCTGAGATAGTTTTGAGATGGCAGACTGATGTACACGTGGTGACTGATCATTGGAAATGAAATGAAATGAGTGGCTGAGCATCACTTGTGCTCGTAACGGTTTTGCAGTTCAACTGGTATAACTCGAGAATAATAATCTGAAGGCCACTGGTCGGAATCCCGCAGCAACACAAACATACGCTTCACATTTAACCAATACCCGTTGTACCTTTTACATTTCACCCAACTAAATTCGAGTATATGTCAGCATTCATAGGAAATGAGTCCCTCCAACCTTGAAACAGTGAGTGGCTTGAATGCAAATTTGTTCTAAAGAAAGTGAATAGGTTACAGATGTTACACCAATGTGTGATGATGAAGATAGAAGTGAATTTTGGTCAGAAATTTGTAGCTCTGAACTACTGCCGTCTAATATAAAAATAAATTGTATTACATTGTGAGATAGTGTCATGACTGTTTACCAAGGTTATTCAATTCTACAAGAAATGTCCATTATGAATGACATTTAAATGAAACTCAAGTTAATAAAAGGTGTTTTATCTATATCGTCTGTCTGAAAGTAGATTACCACACAAACGCCTTATTATTTTCCCTTGCAAATGATATCCTGCAATATTAGCTATTCAAGAAGGTTATAATCGAAATATAGCAATCAAAACCTGTCTTTCATATTTGATATAATGTCTACTATTTTTAAAGGTTTAAAGCTTTTTTCGAAACGTTTCAGTCAAGCTTTCTACTGAGCCTTTTTGATTATGATGAATCACTTGAAAAATCTTCGTAATTCGTTTCCTTTCCTAACATACTGTTTAAGATATCTGATTGATTCCTGTGCTTAACTTCATAGCCTTGAAAAGAAATTATTATGCCTCGGGTTCCAAGTGAAACATACGGCTACAGCAGCACACCTTAACTTCATCCTGTTTCTCAGAGTCCTGTCTAGCTGGCGCCACAACTCTCCGTAAGTGCTTATCTCTTCTCTGTCAATTCCGACTCGCAACTCACTGATGCCTACTCGTGTTACCTACGAGAGACGACCTAGCACACGATATCACCTCTTCAGTGTGTGTCCAGACCATCCTCATTTCATTCGGCGTTTTTGCTGAAAAATAAGTTATTTGTGAGTTCGCTGCCATTGTTGCCTGTTGGCAAGTCTATCTGGTCATCCGACCTTCAGGATCTAACCAGTGTAGGCATCTGTTGATGGAACTCTTTGGTAGTCTTTTGTAAATACTCTTCATGACGTATATAAGAACTGACCGGCTTAACATTGATGCTGAAAATGCAAACCTTCTTACTCATGTTAGTTGCAGCAGATTTTCAAACTGATTTCAGAGTGATGAAGGTCAATCTTGCCTTCCCTATCCTGTCTTTGACATTCTTATCCATTCGGCCAGTAGTTGAAATGTCACCTGCCTAGATAAGTGAAAGAAGTGACCTCGTTCAAATTTTTCTTACGTTGAAGAGGCATTAGAGAATGATTACTGGTTGATTGACGCATATCAGTTTACGCAAACTCATAACAGACAAAACACCTTCATACCTTTGAAAGCTATTGTGAATTGTGACATCTGAAAGAAATGCATATCATATCATATGCTTGTATATTGCCATTACCAGTGTTGTTCAAATTCACTGAGGCGGATAGATTAACGCCTACCAACGGATTGGTATTGAATGATTGTGCTGACATTGATGCGGATGATAATAAAGATGGCATAGATAATGAAGACAATATTGACGGTGACGGTAGCGATGCGGATAACGGTGATGTTCCAGGCGGTGGAACTCGTGATGGTAAGAAGGAGGATAGTTGAGATAGTTGGTGTTGATGATAATGATGATTTGATTGACGATTTGTTTGTGTCTTATGATGCCCATCATTTAAATATAGTGCTACTTGTCGACGTATCGTAGAATTTCTTGGCCCTCTTCATGTTGAACAGCATCTTTATTCATTCCAACTTCAAGGCATTTAGTTAGCCGACATGCTCTGCATTGATTACGATGTGATTTATCAACTCTACAGATAACCATACCAGGTTTTGTAGTACCACGACTTTTACACGTATACTGACGATTACGTCGAATTGATCTTTTAAAAAATCCTGCACAACCATCACAAGCATAGATACCATAATGTTTTCCTGATGAATGATCTTCACAAACATGACATGGTATATCCAGTAGTATACGATCTAATCATTTTTCATGTGTATGTGTGTGTGTGTCAGTGTGTTGATTGTTTATTATTTATTTAAAAATATTTATTTATTATTTATGTGTATTTGATTAAACCAAGTAAGAAAAAGAATTGGTTGATGGACAGACAGTGAGTGTAGTGAAAATGTTGACACATCTGATATCTGTGGTCGGCCTGCAAAATTTGGGCTACCGATATCCACGCTGAAAATTCCATACTTGTACCGAAAATACAGTGTGGAATCAAGCTGTAAATCAAAAAATAAATAAAAATAAAAAATAAAATAAAGAAATAAAGAAAGAACTTAAGATTATGCCATCCTGTTCTTAGTCCTAGTAAAAGTGTTTGCACGAGTAATTTTTCGGCAAGTCAAAAAACGTTTTGCTGAAGTATTTATCTTTCCTTTTGTGGCTATGCTATTAATAGCAGAATTTTGTAAAAGTAGGATAAAAAAATTCACTAGAAAACTCTATATTGTGCCACTCGATGTCTTACAATGTTGTGAATATGTAATCATACTGTGATAGTAGAAAGGTTTCAGTGTTTCTTCAATGTATATCAGTTTATGTTGCCTTCGAAATCCAAACAATAAATAATTATCACAGTTCTTGGACTGATGAAGATTATTTGTAGCTTTTTTTCCTTCAGGTTCCCAGTGGAACATAGGGCTTCAAGCTAGTGACTTGAAGTTTCTGTAGCATTGTTTGATTTTACAGGATGGGGTTGCAAGCCTCATGCCCAATTTTTAGTCTTTACCAGCATTATTTCTGGCTCAGTGAGGTAAAGGAGTGCGCCGGCCGGGAGTCGAACCCCGGACCATGTGCATGGTCGGCGAGTGTCCTAACCACTGTGCCACCGACGCACTGTGTTAATATTTGGTCAAAGTCTTGTTCTATTTAATCCTCATTTAGGCATATATTTGATTATAATTCTAGTTATAGTTTTCACCGAGGAATAAATTTTTGTGGAACAGAAATCATTTAAATCTCCAGAAATTAATTAAACGTAATCAGAGAGCACAGGGTGAATTCTGTTCGTCAATAGAATCCAAGATACTCATTCTGGACAAGTCAAATGGATGTGCTTGAGTTTTACTAAATGATGGAAGTCTTAGATAAGAATACAAAATGCACCTCATATTTTAATTCTGGCCACTACAAAATGAGTTTTAATCAGTCTGTGTTGGCGACACAGGTGTAGAACGCTCGCCACCCACGCATGTGGTCTAAGATTCGATCCCCGGCCGATGCACTCCTTTACCTCACTTAGCCAGTAATAAGATTGGTAAAGACAGAAGGTTGGGCATGAAGCTGTCAACCCCCTACCGTAAAAACAGACATGACTGCTACCGAGAATTAAAGCTGTTAGCTTGACGCCGTATGTTCCATTGGGAGCGTAAAGGAATAAAAAAAATGTAAGAAGGCCATAATCAGAAACGAGACCGATTTATTTCATTCGTAAACCAAAATCGAATGAGATGCTGTATTCTGGAAGGTATGCACACATGGAACATTTGGGGAGGCAGGACAGGAAATTATTAGAGAGTATACTCCGATAAAAAACACTAGGTAGTAAGTAACCATTATCATGCGTCTAATCGTTTGTTTGGTGAGCACTGAATTCTGTCAGTCAAGGTTTGCAATATGGCCACCATGCTAGGTGGCTCGCTATCACGGTGCATTGTGAGTTGTTGATATTTGATGGTTGGTGATAGTCGGCACGAAGCCTTGGACCCAGGTTTCGAGCTAGTTGGTAGGACGTATCTGCAACCTTGAAGAAACTCATGTCCTATCTGAGATTCAGGCTCGTATCACCCACTGTAGCAGTCAAAGACGTTACTTGATTGATAGAATTCAGTCTGTGCCAAACAAAGCCAATCCTATATGAGGTCATTCGCTAACCTGAACAGGTCAGTGGTGATATCTGTGACTGTAGCACTGGGTGATAAGAGGTCGAATCTCAAAGGGGACATGAGTTCCTTCAAGATTAAAGATAAGCCTTTCTGACGAGTGCCAGCAAGCACAAAACCTAGGTCCAAGGCCTCCTGTCACTTGTCTCCAACCATCTAATAACAAAGATTATACTCCCCTGATAGATGAAATTATATAGTCTTTTACATATTTGAATAATTTTACAAGGGATCAGTTGGTAGAAAAATTATCAGAAGTATTTTTGGCCTTATTGCAAATGAAGAGAAATTGATACCATCATGAAAACTCCTAGTTAAATAATTTTCATTTATTACATTTTATTTTGAAATTTATGTGATAATGAAAAATGAATTCTAATAATTAAAAAAAAATACAATAGATATTTGAGGAGAATATATTTCCTTTCGCTTACATTTGCGCGAGAAATTTGATAATAAACAGTCCTCTTGAAAAAAAGAAGGAAGTAGTTAGAAAAGAAGATTAGGCTATTGGGATTTTGATGGTTTGATAATTTTCAAAATTGATCATGTCATGAAATGATAGCAGCTTGAGTAAAAAAAAGTGATATTGAAAACTGAAAAGTAGTATTGGACAGATATGTGAATTTCAAATTCGACTTCTTAACAGTGAACTGAGCCTCGGAGACGCCAGTTTGACTAGGCGAATATGTGTATTGATCCATAGAGTGGTGATTCTACTGATAATGAATGATATAGCATCATGACATTCTAAGGCCATTATCAACTTTCACCACCAATATGATGAGTCACAGTAATTATAAGTTCTTAATGAAATTGCGAATCCTTCATTTGAAAGAAAAGACGTTGATTGAAGAGTTGCTCCTTTCCTCAACATCATTCTGAAGCTGTACAGTCGAGTATAAATAGTGAATTATCTTAGCTTCAAAAATGGAACGTTTCCAAAGATGCGTCGTTAGAAGTGTGAATTTTAGACAGCTAATCACTTAGTGTAGAAAGCGTTCATTGGGTAGAAACTAACAATTAAGTTAAATAAATAAATCGAGCTTATTTGTGAACCGCTCATTGCAGTCTTACTATCTCCTGTTTAACACAGACCACTTTGTACTAGCCACTCACCTGACACCTTTTATAACCTTGATCTGACTTGTTAATTTTTCCTACTCACATTCTACGAATCTATTATGACTAATCACCATCAATATCACCCACTTTACAAATAGTGTTTATTTTGTCGTCCCATAACTGGTCTGTTATTCGACATAAAAATGTATTGCGCATAACTGGCCATTACTGAAACGACAACAAATATTATAGTTCATAATTGTATGAACTTGAAGAGAAATTATTGAAAAGAATATTCTTCGTTCAGATTGAATTCTAATTCATAATTGATGAGACTGTGTGGAATCCAAATAAAATCGAACAAGAGTCAGGCTAGCGACAGTTGTGATCAGGGTTAGAAATTTAATGTAAGGTGTGAAGGAGAAAGTAATACAATGAAAATATAAAAATTTTGTATCTAGTGTTAAGAAGGATCTGGTCCATTGCAGACTCAGAAACTGTACAAAGTTCGACATTTATTATATGGATTACCACTACTTTTCTGGTTTGAAAAAGTTTTATTTGTACTCTTTAACCAGATTCCTGAGTATTCTGTAGATGAAAATGGGGTTTGTTTGTGGGTTAGCTTAGTGTTCCAATTCGATGAGGTATTACAGGATAGAACTGAGTGTGGGTATTTTTCCTCCTTTATGAAACCAGCAGGGCAAGTGTTGCATGATACGTTTTGATAGCAAACGCTGAATTTGGCCAGCATACTAAGCTCTGCAGGAGCCGGTGAATTGATAAATACACAATGATGCGGCCAGCAGTGGTAGCTTATCTGTCACTTTCATGAGAATCATTGGTTTTGTGGAGAAGGTTAGTTGAAGTTCACCTACAAAGAGGGTCTTCTTCAAATAGCAGGACAAAAGGTTTCTCAGTATTACTGCCTATGAGTCTTTACTGAATTGTAGATTCAAGTAGGGGAGTCTTTTATGAGCGGAAAGTGTGAGTTGTTTCGGTCATTTCGGTATCATGGATTCTATGATGAATTAAACTAAATTTTACTTATTCATGAACGGAACTTTGACAGTTTCATTTTATGAGCAGTGTGGTCATGACTTCTGTTTCTCAGGAAGATGTTAACGGACGAGGATTCTATTTCGTAGTTATTGATCTTCACCTATTCGATATTCTCTTAAGTACATCACCTGTGTTGTCAGACTAAGTTACCATTGTCTTATCACTAAATTCCTTTAGTTGAAGTGAAAACTGTCCTTATTGTATAACTTCGATGATTAGTAATCAACTATATTCATCCTAAAGCACTTTTATTAGCCAACCGAAATGTACACTTAAATAATTGATTTAATTCAGAATGACGTACATTGAAGATTAACATTTAAGACAGTTTTACGATATGTTTGCTTTTCAAAGTTACGCTTGTCTGGAAGACTACTGTCTATACATACTGAGGAAAAGACCGAAATCAGTGAAACTGAAACAAACTCAATAGAGTATTCTGTTCGGGATTAATAATAAAATAATAATTTTTCCTTCACGTTCCCAGTGGAACATAGGGCTCCAAGCTAGTGGCTTGAAGTTTCTGTAACAGTGTTTAACTTTGACAGGATGGGGTTGCTAGCCTCATGCCCAACCTT